CACAAAAAACCTACTTGTCCAAAATTTAAGTAAAATTACCCAAATAATAATCTGAGGGTTGCTTTCGGTGTGCAAATAAATCTCTCTCTCAACGGTAAAAGTAAAAGTAAATGAAATTGTAAAACATGTAAATCAAAAGGTAATTCGTTTCAGATTTGAACTTAGTTTAATCGTTAGTTTAGGCAAAAAGTAATAATATTTCTCAAAAAGTGTCGGTTTAAAACAACAAGACCATTGTTTAAACAATGATTATAATGTAAAAATGAACAAAAATTGAGTTTTTTAGCGGTATTAAAAAACGGTCTCCAACAGGAGTTTTTGCTTCTAGTTTTCAAAAAACGCTTCATTTGAGACCTGCTAAAATAAAATCCATTAACAATTTGTTTAAATAATTGCAAAAAACCAGCGAAATTTGAATTTGCTATAAATAAAAGGAAAGAGCATAAATCGTTTCTAAACTGCAGTAAAAGTTGTATTTTGTTACCCTTAAGGAACCCTGAAAATTTGGTAAAAAAATATTTATTTGTTTACGAGTTTTTGCATTTATTTATATATAATATAATGATATAATAGCATTTTTTCAATTACAAACACGCGTTTGTTAGCGTTATAATAAAGGGCCTTATGAGGGCTCATTTGTTTCGTCTTCATTTATATTTTCAAGATATGCATTTGGAAATTGTAATTTCATAGGCTAACCTCCTCAAAACGGCGTATAAACAAATAGTGTAATTTGTTTATAAGGTTTTTCGTTAATAACTTTGCGAAGAATGAATATTTTTTAAAGCCGCTTTGATATTCGTAATCCTGGTAATTTTTCACGAATTAAAAAAAATGTTCTAGGACCGTTTTTAGCCGAGGCAGCGTTTTTTTTTAAATTAATAGCTTGTTTATTTATAAACATTTACACTTGAAATTTTGGGAATAAATCAATGAACCCTTAAACTTCATAATAACGGTTAAATATATCGAAAAAAAATATGCATTTTATAGTAATTTTTAACCCTTTAACCCTAAATGTGCTCGAATACATTTTTACACCTGGAATGTGGTGGGGGAAACAAGACAAAAACGTTCAAAAGTGGAAATCGAGACCTCAAATCTTAATTAACTGCCCGAAAAAATTGCAATATCTCCGGTAATTGTGGACCAATTTTACGTTTTTTTAAAAAAAATTCGCATTTCGAGAAATAATTATTGACAATGGTACCAATAAACAATTTTCTTAAAAAAATATATTTTTATGTAAAAAAGTTCAGGAAATGACATATTTTTTATGTATAAAGTTTATTTTAATGAGAATCGAGTGTTGAGGCTCATAGTTGCTTTACGCGAAATAAAAACCACCCTCAACAGTAAAAATAAAAATATTTTATTGAAAACAAGTTAGTGAAAAAGAACAAGTGTTGTCGGGGCGAACGTTTGCTGGAAAGTCCTCTTGGTTTGGAGTCGTTCGCAGCAGGTATCTATCTGGTTATTGATTCCAATTCTGCCGTGATCCTCTTCCTGGAACCATATCCCGCGTTGCACATTGTTTCTTGTCGCTTGCAACGGTTAGGCCGTCCGGCGTCAGACTGGCGCTCTTGACGTAATATTTAAAACGGGTCACTTGCGGACATGTGCACCCACAAACCTAAGGAAGCTAGCCTTAAAGTATGGCCCATTATTTATTAAATACCCTGTATATATACTTATTCTAATACTTATTTTAGGCGCCATTCAAGCCACCACCGCCGTTAAAACCGGAAATTCACATATCGTCTAGCTCGTACACAGAACACATGCGCAGCTTGTGGTTAACTAGGGCCCACACTGACATCGTGCTGGTGGTGGGATCCATGGGATTCCCCGCTCACCGTTTTATTTTGGCCGCGAGCAGCAGAGCTTTCTACAGGTAAGCCTACATAATATTTCAAAAGGAATAACGTGCAGGGTACTTTCTAACAGATTTAAGTACTACAAGTACTTAAAATTGTCATTTCAAGATATTTTTGAATAATTGATGACCGTATAAACTTATTATTCACGATTGAAATAAAATATTCTTTATATATTTCCCTCAATTGTTTTTTATAACTTTTTGGATCGCTTGCAGGCACATATCGGCAGAATTTTTTTTTATTAATTTGTGACCCAAAACCTTCCAATAAAAATCAAGTATTTTTGTTATTTTCTATATAGACATCTGCAATTTTTCAGGCTGTTGACGGCCGATCTGATGGCGCGGAGTACGAGCGACTCCAGCATGGTGAGCTCTCTAGGTGACTTCGCCGACGAGACGGAGTGTCTGGTGCGCGCCGAGCAGAAGACGTGCAAGAGGAGAGCGAGTTGCCAGGCGCTGCCGACGGCCCGGGAACTTGACCATCCGGCCTTCCAGTGCATCAGGAACGTCCAACCCGAAGGACAAACGGTGGTGACGCTTAGCAAACTAGTGACTCCCGGTGCTATGCAGCAGTGCTTGCAGTTCGCTTACACCGGTACAGTCGATCGCAGTGCGCTTAACTTGCGAGTAAGTACCCTAGGCAATCCTACATAATAGCGTAGTTTGTAGAACCAATGACAAAACCGTCCGCAGCTTATAAAACCAATGATATTGTCGTCTTTCAATAAGGTTGATGTTTCGTTGTCGGGACATTTGTGTTCAGGTTGGGTGCCTTGTCGGGAATCTATCTTAATTTGGCCCCTTTTAAGCACATTTAGCACACTTAAGCATGAACATGATTTTGTCCACCTGAATTCCTCATCAAAGGCGGGTTAGTTGCTTTGAGATAGGTTAAACGATCTAATTTGGTTTGTTGCCTTCTTCCACTCTGATACCCCTTCGGGATGCCACGGCTTCCTCGAGGCTTCCAACTGAGTCTTGTTGCACGAAATGTTTTTTGGGATACTTCGAGTATGGTTACTCTGGTGTCTATACTATTGTTTTTTTAGGTTTTGCCTTGCCTGGCACTGATTTTGTCTCNCCCCTTCGGGATGCCACGGCTTCCTCGAGGCTTCCAACTGAGTCTTGTTGCACGAAATGTTTTTTGGGATACTTCGAGTATGGTTACTCTGGTGTCTATACTATTGTTTTTTTAGGTTTTGCCTTGCCTGGCACTGATTTTGTCTCCTGTGAGTAACCGATATATGGAAGCTTCGAGCCTATTCTATGACTACCTATGAGTTTTGAGCAGCTTCTAGGAGCTTATTCTATCGCTTAGGATTTTCACCGCAGGATTGCACAATGCCTAGGTGAATGAGGCGCTACAATTGAGATCCAGGCCGGGAAAATTGTGAAAATTTTTCAACAAATTATTAAAAAATGATTTCTTAACATGTATTTATAACAAATGGATCTTTGATTACACAGCCACACAAAAAAAGAAAAGTTGTCTGTACTTTTCATGTGACATATGGTATCTGTAGTATTTTTGCCTCCTGATCACGAATCCGGTGTCAGAATTGAGCTATCACATCACAGGAATTTTCTAACCTCAAAGAACAGGTAAAAAATAGCAAAAATTCATGAAAAAGTGATAGGAAAAATACATTTTTTTTCTATATTCAAATGTTCATTTATATAGTTATTAAGATCCCGCCCAACGTGAATCCGCGGTCAGAATTAAAGGTTCTTTTTCTAACCTAAAAAAAAGGTCAGTTTAGGTCATATATGACGAATTTTCAAACAATAACAGATTTGCTCCAAATTTGGTATACGGGGGCTTTCGGCGTCGTTGACTACGGATCCGAGATCAATTTTGCAAAATTCAAGATGGCGGATCCAAAATGGCCGACCAAATTTTCAAATAATAACAGAATAACAGCAAATTTGGTATACGGGGATTTTCGGAGTCGTTGATTACGTATTCGAGGTCAGAATTCATTTTGTAATATTTTACTTTATAACCTGAGTACCCAATCAACTGATAACCTACTTTTTTGGCTATATCTTGTTCTTTTTTCAGTAAAAGATCTATTCACGGGTTGAATTTTGTAAACCTGATTTCGGATTCGTAATCAGTGACCTCGAAAAGCCCCGTATACTAAATTTGGCACGAATGCGTTATTTTTTGAAAATTTGGCCGGCCGCCATCTTGAATTTTGCAAAATTAACCTCGAATTCATGATCAGCGACCCCGAAAACACCCTTATACCAAATTTGATGCGAATCTGTTATTTTTTGGAAATTTGGTCGTCCATCTTGGATCCGCCAGCTTGAATTTTGCAAAACTCACCTCGGATTCGTGATCAGCGACCCCGAAAACCCCCGTATACCAAATATGGCGCGAATTTGTTATTTTTTGAAAATTCGTGACCTTAATTGACCCGTTTTTTTGTGGTTACAAAAAGAATCATCAATTCTGACCGCTAATTCACGTTCGGTGGGATCTTAACTATATAAATGAACATTTGAATATAGAAAAAAAAAATTTTTACTTTTCCTATCACTTTTTCATGAATTTTTGTGATTTTTTACCTGTTTTTTGAGGTTAGGAAATTCCTGTGATATGATAGCTCAATTCTGACATCGGATTCGTGTTATTGATCTGAAGAGTTTTTATACAATTCAAAATGACAATACTTTCAAACATGCGCGAACTGGCCAAGATCCTATAGCAAATTCCGCTTAAAGTTTGGACAATTGGACTTCCCGGATTTTATTCCTCTTTGGATTGTAGCCAACTGGAACTAATGATCAACTTGTAGTCTGACGTGGTACGTTGATTTCATCTTGCGGTTCCCCAGTTCGTAATATTCGGAAAACTTTTCACTTTACCAAATTCGAAACTGAGGTGAATTTTCTATTTTTGCATCTCGTCGTTAGCGGCTGTTCTGCTGACAGCATCGACCTCCGGCGGCGCATGGCATAAGATCTCATGATCTTGGTAGCCAAGTCACTTCACTGTTATGTGAGATGAGTTAATTATATTTACCGTAATGAGTGGACAGTTTCAGTGCCGTATGACAGGTGGCACCATCCTGCTGTAGCCACATGTCAT